TGACAGCAGCTCTCCTCTACTCAGCTGCTGATTTCCCACAGATCCTCAGGAATGCAGGGGTAGAGTCAGCATGAGCAGCAAGGGAGCTGCAGGCAGACAGAATCATGGAATTTAGGCTGGAAAAGCCCTCTGAGATCAGAAAGTCCAACCCTTAACCCAGCACTGCCAAGGCCACCACTCACCCATGTCCCCAAGTGCCACATCGACAGGGCTTTGAAAGACTCCCCCCCTGCCCTGGGCAGCCTGTTCCAATGTTTTACAACCCTTTCCCTGAAGAAATTTTCCCCAGTATCCAACCTGAACCTCCCCTGGAGCAACTTGAGGCCGTTCCCTCTCCTCCTGTCCCTTGTTTCCTGGGAGCAGAGCCCGACCCCACCCAGCTCCTCCTCCTGCCAGCTCCAATCCCCCAGGGCCACCTCAGCCGAGCTCCACGGTCACTCAGCACAAAACACGACTTTAAGACCCACCCAAGACACCTGAGAGACTCTTAACCCCCCTCAGGTGCTCCCATCACCTGAGGCAGGACCAGTATCTGGGGGAGGAACTCGAGGTTTCCAGGGCTTGGGGACTGTTAAGGAGCTGGAAAAGCTGCTGGAGGAGTTGGACGCCGTCATCCTCCTTCAGAAAATAAACAGAGAAATGTCACTCACTGTCCAAGTGCCATCAGCACAGACGCTGTTGTCAATAAATCAGAAGTATCTAGGAACAGCTTGAACAACTTTTATTTTTTTTTTTCCTTTAAAGTGCTTAAAACGTAAATAACAAGCTCTTTTATAAACATTAGTTGCAACTATTAAAACATGAAACGCACAGAACCCACTTCCTTGGTACGTGAAGTACAAGGGAAATCAACAACTCCAAATCCAAATCTTTTCCTGCTTTGGGATGTTTTTCCACCCCACGAAACACGAAACACGCGGCGGTCTCTTCACGGGCGAGTCGTAAGGCTGAGTCTACACTTGAGAATCCACATCCCTTCAGGTTTGTTCCAGTTTTAAGGTTAAATCCTGGTGGTTCTTCTGGCCCACCCTGTGACCAGAAGGAGCAGCCAAGGAGAAAAATAAAATCACTCGGCCGAAGTTCTTGAGAAGGAAGAAACCCGGCCCTGGGCTGAAAAGGAAAGCAGAGCAACAGCACCCTGCTGGAACCACGTGGAACGGCTTGGAAAAACAAAATCCAGGAGAAAGGCAAAGCCACAGAGGGATCCTCGTGGCTGTGTTTAAACTGGAACCGGGGAAAAGCTGCTGCTGGGTTCAGCAGAGAGGAACAGAGCTCGGAGTGGCTCCAGCAAGGAGCAGGAATGCTGCTCCTGCCCCTGGGCTGGCAAATAAATCGTGAAAAAACGGAGATTTAGATCACTAAACTATTGAGATAAACCCCAGACAGAACACGGGCAACTTGAGAACATTCCCCCCCCCACACACCAATTCTTTTCCTCATCCCTTCCCTCCACAAAGTCCTCAAAACCATTTCCCTCTGGGAACTTCTAACAGCAAATCAAACAGACTCTGGTTTCAAGTGCTGTGGTGTAGCCAAGCTGCTGCTCTGATGGACAGAATCAATCTGGGGAGGGGGGTGGTGGGAAAACACCCCCCCATTTTCAGGACAGGTGGGTGGAGAAACAGAGAACAGAGACAGGAGCACCTCTAAGGTGCCTTTTCCTAAACACAAGTCAATTTGTAAATACCTCAGGACTTCCAAACACTGGAGGACAGACACGAAACACCCATCACTGCTCGTTCCTTCTTGCAGCTCCTGCCTCACACCCCATGCCAAGGCACCTGTGCCAGACCCTGCCTTGGCCTTTGGAGATGGGAGGGAGCAGGGATTGCTGGGAAGGCAGGTGATGGAGGGAGCATTTATTGCTGGAAAGGCAGGAGATGAGGAAGCACCTATTGCTGGAAAGGCAGGAGCTGAGAAAGTACCTGGAAAATTGAGAATTGCTGGAAAGGCAGGAGATGAGGAAGCACTTATTGCTGGAGAGAGAGATGATGGAGGGAACAGGTATTGCTGGAAAGGAAGGATATGAGGAAGCACCTCTTGCTGGAAAGGCAGGAGTTGAGAAAGTACCTGGAAAATGGAGAATTGCTGGAAAGGCGGGTGATGAGGAAGCTCCTATTGCTGGAAAGGAGGAGATGGAAGGGGCAGGTATTGCTGCAAAGGCAGGAGGTGAGGAAGCACCTCTTGCTGGAAAGGCAAATGAGGAAGCACATATTGCTGAAAAGGCAGGAGATGGGCAAGATCCTATTGCTGGAAAGGATCTGAGAGGAGATGAGAAAGCTCCTGTTGCTGGAAAGGCAGGAGACAAGGAAGCACCTCTTGCACAAAAGGCAGGAGATGGAAGGGGCAGGTACTGCTGGAAAAGCAGGAGATGAGGAAGCTCCTATTGCTGGAAAGGCAGGAGATGGGGACGCTCCTGTTGCTGGAAAGGCAGATGAGGAAGCTCTGATTGAGGAAGCTCCTATTGCTCTAAAGGCAGGAGATGAGGAAGCACCTCTTGCAGGCCTGGCTGAGCTCTGAGAGCAACATCAGATATTGGAGTGCAAAACATTCAAGCTTTGGCTAAAAGGCAGAGCTGACTAAGGCAGAGGGGGCCGAGGGAGGGTGGTGAGACACGATGGAAGAGGAGGGGAGAAGGCAGGGAGGAGGTGCAGCGAGAGAGATCCTTAGAAACGCTGGCACTCGTGTGTGGGGAGCACCTCCAGAGCTCCAAGGAAGCAGATGTGTTTTTAGGGAGTGGGGAGCCAGTGTGGGATTCTCCTGGGAGATTTTGGCTCTACTCCTCCCCCTTATTAATGCCCACTTGAGCTACACCTGCCCCTTCTCCCGGCCCTCGTTCCCGTGCCGTGCTGGTTTTCCGAGGCTGGGCTGAATTCCAGCTGCCCACAACTCCTCCCTGCCCGCCTTCAGCTCAAAGGAAGAGCTTCTGGGGGCTCTCAGAAAGGGAATGGGGTGCTCAGGCCACAGGATCTGATTCCACAGGCGGAGAGATAGTTCTGGGGCTTTCTAAAAGGGGAGAAACATCTTCCTTCTGAGCCTCAGGTCTTATCCCAGAAACACAAAGGGAGGAGGAACACAAAGACAGGAGGAACAGATAGAGAAGTGCAAAACCTCAGATTATTCCATATGAGGGGCCAAGGCAGGCAGGAATTGGAAGTTCATGGCTGGTACCTTCCCAGGTAACAAATCCTCCCCCTCATATGATGGTTTAACTAGACAGGACCAAACCTCCCTCTCTCCTGACCCAATACTGTCTTTACCCAGCTGAATTTTGTCTTGGAATATTTGGCCTGCTCTCTTCCCTCCCTGTGTCATCTCCTAATCTCTCTGCCTCCCACGTCCCATGAGCTTCCTGTGCAGAATTCCTGCCAAGGACCCAAAGTACCTGCACACAGGGGTGGGGAAGGCTCTGCATGTAAAAATAAACTCACTTTTTCGGGTGAGCGGGAAAACAGAAGAGAAAACCTGCCCCAGATGGGCTGTGTGGAAACGAGAACTGGATTTCAGAGCCTTTTTGGGTGGGAAACTGCTACTGTCCTACGGCAAAAGGCACAGTTTTTCAAAGTCATGGCATACGTGGAAGTAAGGAAAGAAAAGTATGGAGGTTTTGAAAGAATCCAGTAACTTTGGGAGATAGAGAAGAGGGAGATGCCTTACATGTCAAGACAGCTCAAATCCCACACCAACCAACCCTCCACCACTTCTCTAGACAAAATCCTGGCAGGATGAGAGATGCAGCCACATCCTTTCCATCCCCTTCCACAGCAATTCCGAAGCCAAATCTGTGCTGGATTCTCATTAAACCACGTTAATCAGAGCCCTTTGGATGGTCCCTCCATGGTCAGCAGCTGGGAGCACTCAGCTCCCAGCAGAGCTGGGCCCAAGAGGTCCAAGAGTGGATGTGATCCAGCTGGAGCGGTGCTCGGCACTAACACCGGCTGGAAGGGGATCTGCCGGGATTCCCGGATTGTGAGCTGTGACTGGGAGTGTCTGGTGGGAGCCTGATCCCGCAGGATGTCATGCAGAGGCGGCCAGGTGGTCAGACATCCATGAACTTTGGTCCAATTTTCCTGTTGGGTTGGGAAAGACAACACTGAGCCAACGATGGGGGCAGCCACGGAGAGCAATTCCCACGGAATACTGAGTAGAAAACTGAGCTGTGGTTTATACACAAAGGAGTCCCCCCCGAGGCACAGCCAGGCTGGGGGTGGGTTGGGTGGGGAGCAAGGAGATCTCTTGGAGCCCTCACGGTGCACAAACCATCGCTTCTCCCTGTTGCAAGTCGAGTTTGGAGGAACTGAGGCAGCATCACCGCTCTGCACCCACGGAGTGAAGGAGCCAGCACAGCTCATGCTCAGGCAGTGACACTGGACCAAGTCCTTTATGGCCCCCAATTCCACTGTTGTCCCTTTGTGTAGCATCTCCCAGCGGTCAGGAACTGGCACGAACTGGAGCTGGCCTTTCAGACACAGACCCTTCAATCTGGGGGGGGTGAACGGGGCAGGAAGGGGAGGAGGCATCCAACAACAGCCCCGCTCTGCAGTCACCAACCTGCTGGCAGATGTTTGAACATCCCGGCTGTCCTCCACCAGTTCAACACCATCCTCCAGTCAGGGGGCACCGCTTCAGAAAACAGGTGAGGAAGAGTGTGGGCAGAAGAGCAGCAGCAGCAGCAGGATGAAGTGTCATGGGCGAGGCGGTTTTCCAGCTCTCACATGTCCATGGGCCACTTAAAGCACTGGCAGGGTGAGCGCCCGAGAAGATGGCACTTGGTCACAAGGACAGGAACCTAAGGAGGCCTAATCTGCCTCACGTGGAGGGCTCTGCTCCTCCCCATAGGGTGCATGGCTGCCCATCACTCACCCTACAGTTCCCTGGAGCCAGAGCTGGGAGAAGCTTGGGCTGGGAAGGAGCAGACAAGCCTTCCCTGCTAAACTCTGCGAACAGAAGCCGCTGGAGCCCTCTGGGAAGAGGAAGGGTGGGGGGGGGGAGTGCAGGGATGTTTGCAGCGTGTTTACTGGAGAAGTGCTCTAGGCGAGTGCTGCTGGTCTCTGGGCAGAGGTTACTTGGTGCTGCCTTCCCCCAGGGGGATCTGCAGGAGGGTGGGAGACTGTTCCATGATGCGAACCAGCAGCTGGTCGATGTAGTTCTCCAGTTCGTGGATGTGCTCCTCCTTCTTGCTCAGCTCCATCTCCCTCTGCAGCAGCAGCTGGATGAGCTCGTCGTGGGTCAAGTGGTAATACTTGGCTGACTGGTCCAGCACGGTGGGATCCTGTGGTAGAAACCAAGAGGAACATCCAGTGAATCAAATTAAACCCTCCTGCTCCCTTTAAGGTTTGCAGGGTGCAGCGACAACCAGAAAAAAATCCTATTTTTGTGTCTGTCTCCTTTCCAAATCTGGAAAGGCTGGAGCATCACAGGGAAGCAGGACCCACCCAGACCTCACCCCAGGAAAGCTGAGGTACTCATAACCCACAACCTGAACTACCTGTGGCACCACAAAGGGTGCAGCAGGGTTGTCCTGGTCTAGGGGAAGGTGTCCCTGCCCACGGCAGGGGGTTGGAACAAGATGGTCTTTTAAGTCCATTCCAACCTAAACCATCCCAAGGTTCTATAACCAGGGATTCACTCACACACTGCACAGCAAAAACCCCCAAACCAAAGCAAGCAATGGGAGAACAACAATGGGGTGAGAGAGAGAGGTCAGGGAGGAAGGGAGGCTGGTGGGAGTCTGACATCCATCCTGAGCAACCAGGACCCAGGATTAATACTCACCCCGTGGCAGGACCCTGTTCTACCTCCTCCACCAGTTCTTTGCCCCTGTGGAACACCTGGATGAGGTGTGAACGCAGCTCTCACCTCTCAGGCGAAGGGTTCCTACCTTTAACTTCTTGGGGTCCGTTTTCTCCGGGTGGGAGGTCGGGGCCACAGGCTGGACGCTGCTCGTGGTGACTGTCCTCAGCTTCTCCAGGCCATTGCTCAGGGCTGAGGTCAGGCTGGACCTGTGCTGCTGCTTCTTCTCAGCAGAGACCTCCTGCACGGCGGCGCTGATGGGCTTCACCGGGTGGGGACTGGGGACAACAAGGTCGGGCAGTTATAACACCCTCCCGAGCTGGGATTTTACAGGGATGGAACCCGCTTAGAAACTGGAGCCATTTCCACCCAGAGAGGAGAAAAGGAGCCCTGGGACACGTGTCTGGCTGAGACACAGAGCAGGCCCTGTGTCCACACGGGGAATGCTGTGGCTCAAAACTCCCACAGGCTGCCGGGTGTTGGTGCCCATGAGATCAAACCCAGGCCCAGTGTGATCAGAGGCTGCCCAGAAGGGCATTTTGTTGTCCAGGAGCTCCCAAAATTAGAGTAGGGGGGTCACCATTGATGCTTCAGCGATGCTCCAGCCCAAGAGTTGAGCTCCACCTGCCTGGAAGCCACCACAGAATTTGTCCCCCTCTACTAAGCCAAAAGGGAGAGTGAGGAGTCAGCTGAGGGGGAATTATCATTCTCATTTATTTTTGCCTCACTCTTCACCCAAAAGGGTTTTTTTCTGGGCTTAAACAAAGTCTGTTTTGCTTTTCAGCAGGATGGAAAGAGAAGTGACCTGATTCTGCCTTCCTGCAAGGAACAGGCACACCTGAGCACCACCTTTGGGATGGAAAGATCCAAGGAACAGGCACACCTGAGCACCACCTTTGGGACGGAAAGATCCAAACATCTACCCAGGAACTCTGCAAAGCCTCTGCTCTCACGGGGGGCAGCAGCCACCCCTGCAAAGGGTGACAATCCCAACTGCTGTGTGTCCAAACGGGGCTGGTGTCCTCGTGCCTTGCCCACAGTGGTGGGATCAGGATGTCCCAGACTGTCTCCCCATCGTGCTAGTGGTCTGGAAGTTTTCTTCAACCACCATGATGACTCCTGCCATCCATGTGTTAGGAGAGGATGGCACTGGTAGATCCAACAAGCCAAAGGATCAACTTCCTTAACGAGGGGAAGTGGAGGGGGGGCACTGATCTCTTCCCTCTGGGTGACAGGGATGGGACCCAGGGAATGGCTGGAGCTGTGCCAGGGCAGGCTCAGGGTGGATCTCAGCAGAAGGTTCTTCCCCCAGAGGGTGGTTGGCACTGCCCAGGCTCCCCAGGGCAGTGGGCACAGCCCCAAGGCTGCCAGAGCTCCAGAAGGGTTGGGATGATCCTCTGGGGCACAGGGTGGGATTGTTGGGGTGTCTGGGCAGGGCTGAGGATTGGGCTGGATGGTCCTGGTGGGTCCCTTCCAGCTCAGGATACTCTGGGATTCAATGATCTCTTGTCAGAGCTGTCCAAGCATGTGGACAGAGCCCAGGGTTCCTGGGCAGCTTGAAAGGATGAAGAGGACTCCCATGGACCTCACTGAGTGTCAGGGCTTGGAGGAGTTGCCTTAAAAGCTCCCCACAGGGGACCAAACCCTGCACCAGCAGAGCTGTAACCACCACGCTACAGACGGTCCAGCAGCTGTGAGGAGAACGTGGGGGGAGCCACCAGGACTCCTTATCACAGCCAGACCTGAAGATAAACAGCCCCAAATGTCACCATCACCTGGTGCATCCCCACAGCCAGGGCAGAGACACCACAGCATGTCCAAACCTTGGGACCAAACTGGCATAACTCTACAAGAACCAAATCCAGCCTTGGGGATGCCAGTGGGATAGTTTGGATGCATTCTGAAAGCACGGGGACATTCCCCACTGCAAGTCTGGCCACAGGCCCATGGCCAGCGGGAACGGTCATTTCTGCAGAGCTGGAAAAGGTATTTTGAAACATAAATCCCAATCCCACTCTTTCCTGCTCGGGGGGTGGCGTGTGCAGGGCTCTGCCCCCTTCATTTGTCACCCTGAGGGGATCCAAAAGCTGGAGGCATTCCTCCCCCTGCACCTGCCCCAGGATGGTTGGCAGCAGGTCCTTCCAGGGGAGCAGAGGCTGTTTCCCACCTCACAGCCAGGTCTGAAGTTCTGATGGATCCTCCAAGAAGCTGGACCCGTTTCCATCTGCTGGTTGTTGAACGGGAACTTGAGAGAACTGATTCCTCACACTGAGTGGACCCAAGTCCAAGGTGGAGCTCAACAGGTCAGGGTGAAACCTCCCAGGGTGACAGTGGCCCAGTCCTGTCCCCCCTCTCTGAGCCAGCCTTGCTGTGTCACAGCTTCACCGACACTCCCAAGGTCACTGCTGAGCACAGTGACAAAAATTCCTCTGAAATTAAGACTTTATCATCCCATTAAAATGCTCCTCACAGGGAACAAGGCAAGAAAGGGCAAATCCAAGGGAATCAACCTGCTGTGGAGCAGCACACAGCACCTGAGGGCCAGATCTCCAGGGAGAAAGGGTCTTCAGGATGAAAGGGAATGACTGAACTCCTGATCAGATCTCCCAGGTCTGTCCATGGATGTGCCAAGGCCACTCTCCAAGCTCCAAGGGCTCCACAAGGACTGCATTTAGATCCCAGGCACTGGCACATGATTTAACCTGACACCCCGTTTTCACAAGATGATGGTTGTGCTGCACCCCTGACACAGCAGAGTGTGCCAACATCACCCTGGCACCTGGGATGTCCCCAGTCCTGCCACCTGCCAGCACCATGGCACGCTGGAACACTCACACACCTGAGCTCCTGAGGGATGGGGGAGGAGCTGCACGACTGCTGGACCCCTCCAAGGCAGTGGAGTCCCTAAAGGACAGTCACAGCCTGTCCCTGAGGTCCCACCTCAGGTCCCAGGGATGTGACCAAAGTCCCCTTCCCAGCAGTGAAGGCACCATCCCACCCTTCTTAAAGAGACCAGGACCCTCCCCACACCTGAGTGTCACAGCTGATGCTCCAGCACCCACCTTACCCCAGTGGCCACACAAGATGACCAGCAGAGCCCTCTGGCCACTTGGGAAGGGGACGTGAGACCCCACACCAGGTACCAGCTCCTCCTCCACCTGATGGAACAAAAAGACACTTTTGCCCCAAAAAGTGTCCCTAAAGCCAAGCCTTAATGCCTGTTCTAAGGCTGAAGGTTTTTCCTTCCAACTTTTTTTTTTCTACCATAACTTTTCTTGTCCATGTGCCATCCTAACAGGAGATGAGATTCTGGGAAAGGGAAGCCAGGCCATGGGGACCTGGAAAAGGTCCCTTCCAGCTTTCCCCTCTTCACCCCGTGACAATTATCACTTCTCCCTGATCTTAAGAAGCACTGCAGAACCTCAAAGCTCTCCAGAGACACCTGGAAACCCTTCAAAGGCTCTTCAATCACAGCAACAAGTATCCAAAACACGGTAAAGGAACCAGAGCAGAGAAGTTCCAGGACTTCTCAGCCGTGTGTCACGACAGAAACCAGCACTGAGAGGATAATCAGCCCTCAGGTCCAAGCCCATTTCCATCCCACGAGCCAGCCAGGCCTTGGATGGATGCACAACCAAGCTTGAAGATGACCATGAGCTCACCACTGCCTCATTTTACCCTTTGGCACTGCAGGACACTTCTCTTTCCATGAAACATGGCAAGGTTCAGGAGGTTTCTGTATCCCATCCCTGCAAATTTGGAACAAGGTTATCTTGCTGCAGGATGAATAGTCCAATTAAAAGCGGTTTGAGGATCTGGCCTAAACAAGAAGAAAAAATATCCAACAGCCCCAGCTCTTGCTCCTGAGATCATTTTGCCCCTCAAACCTGCACTCAAGCCAAGGAAAGATCCCATAATGAAGGGCTGGAGCTCAGCTGAGTTTTGCTGGCCCAGCCTCCTGCCCTTTCTCTCCCCAGGGCTGTGACCAACATTGCTCTTGGGCCAGGTGGGATTTTACCATTTCAGTGCCCCCGTGAAGCTCCATGTGCCTCGTGATCAGCGAGGCTGATCAAGAAAATCCCTGCTAGAGCTGAATAAATCACTGTCACAGCTTGATCCTTGGGCAGACAGAGCCCAGGACAACCTTCTCCTACCCAGGCAGAGCAGGGGAGGGAGTACCAGGAAAACCTGATGAACTGAAGGACACAGAGCAAGGCTCCATGCCCAAAACTCACCATCTTTACTTCACAGCTTCTACAAGCCCACGACTGGCCTGGGAGGAGGAATATCCCCTTCTTTCCACCACAGTTCCCCCCTTCCCATTCCTGTTACCCTCAAGGCTAAATCCCACTTGCCTCATAACCAACAGGCATCTCAGCAGGAGGGAGGGGAGAATTTGGCCCTGGTGAAACCAACCTCTTTTTTTTTTTTTTTTTTTTGGCTATGGAGAGAAGAAGGTTTTTTTTTTAGTACCTGCTGGGCATTCCAAAGGCAAGAAACCAAAGCTGAATGAATGGAAAGGGAAGGGGCAGCAGCTGTGCACATGCCATGAGGGAACTCAGGAGAGCATGAACGGCCGGGAGCTCTCCTGGCAGACAGGGAGAAGGCATTCATTTTTGCAAGCACGGGGAGGATGATGGAGCCAAAATTAGCACTGAGGGAGATGCAGGTGCATTGGCTGAACTTTCAGCTGAGGGGTGGGTCGTGGATGCCTCCAACCATTTCACCCTCTTTAGGGAAAACACAGGACACCAGTGGCCATTCCGTGATCCCAGGAAGCCAAGGCTTCAAGCGGCTCAGGCTGGACTTTCTGGGACCACAGGAAGGTGAGGGAGGAGGACCTGCAGCAACACACGGAGCTGCCGACACCGCGCCGGGGTCCTCTCGTCGTCCCCCCTGATAAGAGTCGGGACGGGAGTCGAGGGCTCGCCTCTCCCAAAAACAACACACCCTTCGCCTTCCCCGGAGTGCTCACCTGGTCGTCTGCTGCAAAAGGGGCTTCTCAGCCGGCCGTGTCTCCCTGGGCAAAACCACGAGCGCTGAAGCCTGTGTGTCCCCGGGCTGCGGCCAAGGGCAGGGCTGGGCGGCTGCGCGGCTGGAGGCGGCGGGGCCCCCGCTGCTGGCGGGGAACACGGCAGGGCAGGGGAAACCAAACTGCTCGGGGTTAGTGGCAGCCACGAGGAAAGGGGTGGAGGAGGCCAAGGGCTGGCTGGCATGCGGGGAGGGAGGCTGCGCGAGTGGGTGCCCGGCGGGGTTAGTGGGCCGGGACGAGGCTTCCTCGCGGGGGCCGGCCAAGCTCGAGGGGCCCCGGTCAAGCTTTTCAGGCAGCGCGGCTTGAGCGGGGAGGGGGTCTGGGGGTGTCTCCACAAAGGGGTTGCCTGGGGAGTTGGGGCTGAGGGCCAGAGTAAAGGGGTTTTTCGGGGATGGAGCTCCCTGCTGGTGCCTCTCCTCCGCCCTGTCTGGCTTCCAGAAATCCGCCTTCTTGAAGTCTATCCTGCGCTCTGCCGAGTGCCACGGCCCCTCGGGCTCGCTGCGGGGGGGTCTGCCCTGCTCTGCCTCCTCCTCCACTGCTGTGGGGGCACAAGGCTCAGGCTGGTGTCCCTCTTGCCCCTCACCATCATCCCATGCCGGCTCTGGCCGGGGTGAGCTCTCCCTGCGTGCTAACCTTGGGCTGAGAGCAGCGGGATGAGCAGCTGCCTCCTGCTCTTCCGGAGCCGTCCAGAACATTTCTGGCTGGCCCAGGTCTAGCGTGGAAGGTGGGTTTAGTCCTGAAATGCTGAGCTTCTCGGGGAGTGGCTCCTGTTTGGAGGCCATCTCCCACTTGGCACTGTCTGTGGGCCCCGTCTGAGGGGACAAACGGGGCTGGCTCCAGCTCTGCTCAGCACCCGACTGGCCTAATCCGTCCCGGGAGAACTTGGACGCGCAAGTCTCGAACTGCTCAGCGACATCCATCTCGTTCATCTCCGATGCCTCTTCCCCCAGAGAGGTGTCCCCTTTTCCCAGCTCGCTGGCTCTCACTGCTGAGTCTCCAGATTCAGCATCCTTGGAGATCAGAAACTCCCTCCCGGCTTCGGCAATGTCCACTCCCAGGGCGGGTGGGCTGGGAGATGCCGGGACTGAGGGCTCGCTGCTCACACGGCTCCTTGGCAACTCCACATCTGCTTTTGGGTGCTCCGTGTCTTCCCCTCGCTCCTCCTTGCCTCGCTGTGGGCCAGGAGCCTCCTCCTCCTCCTCCTCCCCGTCCCCTCCAACACCAGCAGCTGCGAACCACCGGGGAGGTTTTGGGGGCGGCACCACCGAGCCGGCCACAATCTCCTCCCGCTCTTGGGTCCCCGTCCACGGGGAGAGGACAACGTGCCTCTCCCGGATGTCAGAGCTGAGCTTTACAAGGCTTTCACTGGCCTCCAGCCTCATGCTGGCCTGGAGCCGGTACACCGACGTCCGGATGTCGAAGGCGCCCTCCTCATTCCCGGCGCCCTGGGGCTCCGTCCCCGGCTCGGGAGGGGCAGGGAGCGGCCGTGCTGCCACCCGTGGGGGCACGGCCACCACGTTGCTGCCTGGCAGAGTTTCGGGGCTGAGCTCGGGGGGGAAGGTGGTCCTGGGCAACACGCGGGCTTCGAAGGCGCCATCGCCGAGGAAGGAGGATCGTGGGCCGAACACGCTGTCCTGACCCGCGCGCTCCTCGGCCACGCTTTGGGTGCTCTCCGAGGGCTCAGGAGCGGTTTCCGTGGCGATGGTCATCCAGCCATTTGTCCCTGCACTAGACGATTCCTCCTCATCACTGTCCCCTCCCTCCCTAGCGCTACTTCCAGCTGTCGAAGCCTCTTTTTCCGCGGCGTTCCCCGACGCAAACGCGGCCGTCCAAACCATGGGCGTGCTGCTCTTCCTCCTCCTCCCCGTGGAGCCCGCAGACACGGGGCTCAGCACGTCCTCTATCACCGTGGCCTCCTGGGTCGTGCTCACCAAGTTGGCCCCCACATCTAAACTGGAGAAATTTGTCCAAGACCGAAGAGCCGCGGGCATTTCGCCGCCCATCTGGGAGTCGGCCTTTTCAAATCCTTGCACCCCCTTCTCGTGGGCTGGCTTGGCTGCCCTCTCCGTCGGGCTGGCGGCATCGGCGTCGTCGATGAAAGCCATGCCTTCTGCTGCCAGGGAAGCAAAGAAGTTGTCCTTCTTCCCTTCTGGCTTGAGCCTGCTGGTGGCAAAGGCATCGAAGGTGTCGTCCCACTCCGAGAGCGGCGGAGGGACGGCGGGTTCGGCGTCCGGAGGAGGAAGGTCTCCTTGTGATGGGGGAGTGGTTTCAGGAACGGGGACACCAATGCTTTTGGCTGGAGACTCCCCCTCTGGGTCTGTGTGCCTTAGGGAGGCAGAGGGACTGCAATCCTCAGAGGAATAAAAGCTCCCAGCGACCTCTGGTGAAGCATGCGGCCCACACGGGAAACTAGAGAAAAAGTGAGTAGGTGAAGGAGAATTTAGTACCTGGTCAGCGAGGAGGTCCTCAAAGAAAGGATTGCTCTGCAGGGAGTTGAGGAATGGGTTGGTGGGGCACAAGCATCCGGCCTGGCTGTCTCCAGTAGCGGGAGGGAGGTTAGAGCTTGGCATGCGAGCGAGATGGGCAGGAGGAAACGGGGCAGGGGAGCAGGGAGGAAAATGAGAAGGAGCATCTGAGCTGGTTTCTACCTGAGGAGACACTTCCAGGCTGTGGAGGGAAGACAAAACAGTCCTCCTGGTTAATGCTGTGACAGAGCTGTGAGCACACACCACACACACCACAAACGCTTCGGTCCAAGCAGTGCAATGACCAAACACATTCTCGGCTCTTGTTAGGCAGAGCAATGATTATGGAGTCAAGGCGTGGAAAGGGCATGCACGACACAAAGGAAAGGACAGCCCTTCTCCTAGGACAGTCCTCCACGTTCCCCTCTCTGCCTCAGCAAGCTCAGGAGCCCGAGAGCTTTTTCCCACCTCCTGCAGCCCAAGGACTCGGCTCAGATTTTGGTCCCGATGTTGGTGCCCCAGCCAAGGGCCGGTTGTGCATGAGGAGCCGGGCTGGGCTCTTGGGTCGGGATTACCTGAAGCAGTAAAGGCACACAGGAGCCTTTCCCAGCTTACCCCAGTCCCTCATGACTTGTTTGCCAACATCACCAGGATGGCAGCAGACACGGAGCTCCCCCTTGCACAGGACAGGGGGGAGCACAGCTCCAGGTGGCCAAGGAACAAAAGCCAGGCAGGAAGGAGCAGGATGGGACCCTGGCTCCATTCTGGACTCTGCCCAGCCTCCCACATGGCCTTTGTCATGTCACTTCTGGCCTCAGATCCCAAGATCTGCCTAGAACCCCCTGGGGAACCCCAAGGAGGAGGAAGGGATTCAGCACATCCTGAATTCAGACTGTCAGTCCCCTGGAGGAGGCCAGTTCTTTGCTGCCTTTCCAAGAGGGACTACACTGACCTTTCTTTGGGATTTCATTGATCTTCCTTTGGGAACAACTCCAGCAAAGTGCATCACCACCCCCAAGGAAGCCTCACCAGGCTCGATGGTTTTCACATCCCAAAGTGTGTGTTGTGAACACTCCACACCCCAACCGGTGCTCCAACTGCCACTCCCCCTCCTCCTGAGCCCCCATCCCCTCCACTCACCCTTGGAAGGAGCATTCCCATCTCCAGGATAGGGGCACTCAGCACCAGAACTGATCCATCGGGATTATGGCCACAAGTTTCAGAGCTCCCACTTTTGCTTTGGGAGAAGCACGGACATGGATCAGCCAGCACTGGGCATATCAAAGTTTAACAAGGAATCAATAAATCAACTGCTCTGCCAACATCCCACAGGGTCTGTCCAGCCCTGGGGTCACGTCTTGGGATTTCCCTCCCGAGCTGCTGGAAGGGATGGCAGGAATCACCGGAAGATCACGGTCAAACACAAAATCAAGCAAAAAAAAAAAAAGCTGCTTGGGCAACTCTTTTCCCGTCACTGTGGATGCACAAGATGCCTTGGACACGTTTTAAAGCACAAAAATGCCATCTTGAGGCAAAAGTTGACGCTGTGGGATGGTGCAGCCGGCTGGTTTTGAAGCAGGAAGGGCGACGTGCCGGTGGTGCCCCTCGGACCACGAGGGATGCCCCAACCACGTGGCCCCACCTCTCCCCGCTCCTGGCAGCTTCACAGGCCCCCCTCATGCATCACCCTTGGAAAGGTGCTTATTTACGCCATCAAGGGCACCAAAATCCCCTTATCCCAGTTTTTAGGTAGGAAAGACATGGACAGGAAGCAGCCGGGAGTGACAAGCTCAGCTCCGGCACCCGTTGGACACCACTGAGCAGAATTAGGAATCCAGGGACACAAAAAGGCTCAAACCCTTCATTTCTACGCAAACCTGCAGCTCACTTGTGGGCAGAGACAGCTCGTGGGTGCCCTCTCCTGCTGTCACTAAGCAGTGGTGGCCGTGCCCATCCCGGTCCCCAGACAGCTCCGACTGTGTCTCCGTGTCCTCTCCTGCTCGGACCAGGGGGGAGGAACCACCGTGGGCAGCCCAGCTCTTCACAGGTGTGCACAGATCTCCAGGAGGAGTGATGGGAGAAGCTGAGGGACCCTTAGGCACAAACCACCCCAGAGAGACCAGGAGCCTGGTCTCTGCTTGGAAGCCAACATCTCCCGGCATTCCCAGCCCGGGAATTGCCGTGTGGTTGCACCTTTTTCCCTAAGCACAGCTGCTCACGACCCAAGGGAGCTCACAACATCCACAAATGGGTTTTAACAGGGCAAAACCTGGCAGATTTTCCTTTCCAGCTGGAAAGGGAAGGTGGCAAAGTCCAAGGTGGACCACCACGGTGTCGGGGTGGTGCCCTCCCTCTGCTTGCCCTGCTCCTTGCTGGCACTGGCTTGGGTGGTTTGGTCCAGGTTAAGATCCATGATTTGTGACTCTGCCTAAACATCCCTTAGTGCTGAGTAAGAGCATCCAAGGCCCGATCCAGCTCTGCTGGGCTCCAGCATTAAGTGGCTCCAGAGCATTAATCAGCTGCAGGCTCCTAATGAGTACTCCCCACTAACGACCTTCAGAGCTGCCAGAAGGCTGAGTGGGTGAAGCTCCTTCCTCAGGGGGTGGTGGATGCCAGAGCAGCCCCTCGCCCCAGACTGCACCTCCACAGGTGGAGCAACAGCCTCGAGGTCTCCTCACACCCACCCAAGATGATCCTGTCTTCATTCCCTGGGTCATCACAGACTCATGGAATGGTTGGAGTTGGAAGATATTAATTAAAGCTCATCTAGTTCCAACTCCCTGCCCATGGGCAGGGACACCTTCCACCAGCCCAGGTTGCTCCAACATGGCCTTGGACACTTCCAGGGATCCAGGGGCAGCCACAGCTTCTCTGCCCAACCTGTGCCAGGGCCTGGCCACCCTCACAGCCAACAATTCCTTCCCAATATCCCATCTATCCCTGCCCTCTGGCAGTGGGAAGCCACTCCTGTCACTCCAGGCCCTTGTAAAGTCATGATGAGGCTCATGGGCTGCTGGACTTGCTGACAATGGCTAAATATATAAAGACAGAATTTAAATCCATCTTTTTTTTGTCAGATTCCAATTTTCCTGCTCTAAAACCCCCTATGGAATTTTCCTTTCTGTCCTGGGTGAGCTCACGACACCCACAAATGGGATTTTTCCTGTCCCCATTCCTGCTGGGACCCACCGGGGTTTGCTCAGGGGCTGCACAAGCCCCTCTCAGCTGCAAACTCCAGGCAGAAAAATCATGGAATTCTTTAGGTTGGAAAAGCCCCTAAGGATCATGGAGTCCAGCAGTTCCACTGCCAAGGCCACCACTGACCCCATGTCCCCAAGTGCCACATCCACAGGGATTTTAAACCCCTCCAGGGATGGGGATCCACCCCTGCCCTGGGCAGCTGTGCCAGGGCTGGACAACCCTTTCCATGAAGGAATTCTCCCCAGTATCCAACCTGAACCTCCTCTGGTGCACCTCGAGGCTATTTCCTCAGAATCTGTGACTCTCCCCGGAGTTTTCCAACTGCACCATCACCCTTCAACCCCTTTCCTCGGCACAAACACCTCTGTTTCAGTGCCCAGCCTGGCACTGGCAGAAAACCTCTCCCCCCACGAATAATCCATCCCCCCAAAAAAGCCCCTTTTCCCGTTCTCCCTGACGCTGGAAGTGCTCGGGGAAAAGAGGAGTGGAGGACGGCGGATTCCTCTAGAGGGAAACCTCCGCTTGCAGCAGCCTGGTGGAAGCTCTTTGCAGCACTGAAACGCTGACTCACCCTTCTCCTCCTCCTCCTTTTCCTACTCCTCCTCCTCCCATTCCCAGCACAAGGCTCTGCCAGCCAAAATAAATAGCGGGTACCTTTCTGCCCTCGTTTATTTGTTTGGCAGCACTTCCCAGACGTGTTTTAGCCTCTCAGCAATGGGGGGGGGGGGAAATAAAAAGAAAAAAATATTGCTGAGCAACTCCCTGATGGGGGGAAAAAAAAAAAAGTCTATTGGAAACAGCTTGTTCAATGCAGGGAGATTTTTTCCCTGTGGATCTCAGCCTGGATTTCAGGCTCAGGGCAGCGCCCCAGCTCTGCAGTGACAGAGCACCAGCCCCAGCCCATCTGCAGCAGGGTGGGTGACTCTGCACCGGGGAGATAAAACAGCACATGCGCTGGAAAAGCCGGAGTTTGGGGAGGGCAGGGATAAATCCACCCATGATGTGCCGAGGGGAAGAGCTGTGCTGGAGCTCGAGTGGAAAATCCCTCCTGGGAGGGCTGGGTCCAGGGATGCGCCGTGACTCTCCCGCTCACAACATGCTTTTTGCCCCGTTTTTCTGTATTTTTGGGTGGAAAATTGAGGTGCTGGAGGCTCCTGCAGCAGCTTCAAAGCCTGGCAGGGATCAGGAATTTCCTCCCACCGGCAGGAGCAAGATTGGTGCAGAAAGGGGGTTGGGAGAGCCCAGGACATTTTCGTGCAGGGTGGGAACCCAAGAGGGAGTGAGTCAGGAAAAATAAGCAAACGCTGCTTTTAAACAGGGATTCTGGGAGTGAAAGAAATGGATTTACCCATAATAAATAATCTATAACAATTATCTGTGCAATAACCACTTTACTTTCCCCTTGGGCCTCACCTGTCCATCATCCTGATTAAAAGGGACAAATCCTCCTTTATAAGCATTTGCTCCCAAAACCACGGGAATAAAAAACAATTAAAAGAAATCTGGGTAGCAGGAGCCCCAGATGCAAAGTTCCAACCCCAATTCCCACTTTCAGGAGTGGGGCTGTGCTTTACCTGGACAGCCACAAAGCAGATTTGTGTCATCAGGGCTGAGCTGGTGCCAGCTCTGGATCCGACTCACCATCCTGCTCCGTGTCCATCCCTGGGAAATGCAGGCTCAGCAGGAAAAAGGGAGGTAGAAGCATTTTAAGAGCCATTTCCAGGCTCCTCACACCGATCCCAGCTCCACCCCTATGACTGATCCAATGCAGGCTCCTCTGGGTGCAAGGTTTGGGCCAGAGGTGTGATTCCTGACGGCTCCCACATGGATTCATCCACTGTTATCCACGACATCCTGGTTCTCACATCATGGCCTTCATCTTCCTCTTCATCAAACTCTGCAGTTTCCCAGGTTCTGCTCCGAAATTCCCTGTTAATGGTGCTTTGGAGGGAGCTGCTCCCACACATCCACGTTTAATCCCACCTGGTCCAACACCGCCAGCCTGTCCTGCTCCAACCACTCCAAACCTTCCTCCCATTTCCAGCACTTCGGAAATGTATTTTTTAGGAGTCCATGAGAAACAGTGAGGAATTTGAGTCAATATTTGGCCTCACTGCTGGATCCAAGGGGATGGACTCTGGGAAGGGGAGTGACAGAGGAGGTGGGGAGGGATTTTACATCTTCCCCACATGAAAGCACCAAAGAGGGAAGGGGTTTTAGCCTGAAAATGGAACTAATGCAACTATTTTTAGAAGCCAGAGCACAGTTTCTCTCTTTTCCTACTGCCCAGATGGAGCCCCATTTTATCATGGGGATTCACACCACAGGAAGCAGGACCTGCAGAGCTCTGATAACATTGTAGGCCAGCCTGAAAAACACTCCAACCGATTGTTTTAGCCCCAGGCTTTGCCTCAAATAAACCTGCTGAGCTTCTTCCTCACACACAAAAAGCCCTTGACCACCCAACCTTAAAAACAACAAACCCCAAACAGTCTTTTATTCAGCCTCCAAAGGGCAAACACCATCTTCCTACAGCTCCCATTCAACCCAGTATCAAAGCCCCGGAGCTCACATGGATTAGCAAAGCCAGGGAGCTGCTCCTCCTGCCAAGAATCGAGATAAAAACCTGTAAATAAGGGGCTGAAGGCTGAAAAAGTCCGGTTCTCTCCCCAGACAGGTTTGCTGCCCCAGCTCACGTGCTGATGGCTCAGCAAAAAACACCCAAAAGAGAACAAAAAAAACCCCTCTTATGATGAAGCTGAAGTTGAATCCAGCCCAAAGTCAGCAGCTCCTTATTTTAGCAAGGGTGTGTTTTGCAAGAGCAAGCGTTTAAAGGCGAGCTGTGCCAAGCTGGTCTTAGCTGCAGGCGAGTTTAAACCTCAGCTGGAACCATCATTCTAATTACAGGCCTTTTTAACTAATTACAGGTTGAGGTTTTGAGTCTGATTTTGATGCTCTCACGCCACGCTCGGCTCCAGGGGAAACTCGACCTCTCCATGGGGAGCACGAAGGTGAGGAGATGCTGCTGACAGGAGCCACAAGGCTGAATTTCCAGAATCAGCAGAGCAGGAGGGAAAAAGTCCTTTCTGCAGGTCAAAGTCAAAGGCTTCAAACTGCTCCATTCAGAGGCTGGTACGCCCCAGAGCAAAGGTTAATCCATCTTCAGCCCTACAAGTTACACTGGTACCTGAACAGCTCCTCCAGCTGCAGATGGACACCCACAGAACCCCCACAGATCACAGAATCATGGAATGGTTTGGGTTGGAAGGACCTTAAAGACCACCCCATTCCACCTCCTGCCATGGGCAGGGACACCTTCCACCAGCCCAGGTTGCTCCAGCCTGGCCTTGGACACTTCCAGGGATCCAGGGGCAGCCACAGCTTCTCTGCCCAACCTGTGCCAGGGCCTGCCCACCCTCCCAGCCGGGAATTCCTTCCCAATATCCCATCTAACCCTGCCCTGTCTCCATGTGAAGCCACCAAGACCTAATAAGCTCTTTGACAGCTTTGAGCTGACTCAGAGTCGAGGTCCACGAGGTCCCTCCGTGTGAGGAAGGAGAACAAAACCAGAGTTCTGTGTAATTAGAAGAAGTAACGACCTCGTAATTAATGGCCAGGAAAAATGAAGCACCAGGACGGAGACACATCATCTCCCTGGGATGATGGAAAGGCCACTTTTGCATCAGATCACACTCAGGCACCCTCTGCCACCACTTGCCACCTTGTAACGCTTCCCAAAGCTTCTCGTCTACCCCACTCCCAAATCCCTGCATGGTGGGAGGGAGAAACCCCCTTCCCAGCCAGGCACCTCCAGCGCTTCCCCATCCTCCCTTAGACACTCCTCCCAACATCCACTTTAAATCCCCCCCTGCTCCAGTTTAGGCTCATCAGTTCCCATTTTCAGCTGCAAACTGCAGTTAAAACCCACTCAGATGTTCCCGAACGCCCCAAAAAGGGGCTCCTGTGGATTCGTTCCCTCCTTCGAAGCCGTCCCTATTTTTTGGAGAGAGAATCCCAGCCTGAGGAGCTGCTGCCACACGGCTCATCCAGGTTTTTTTTCCTCGTAAGACAGCCGGGATCCCTCGGCAAAGCGACTCCCGGCAAAGCTCGGCTTCGGTTGAGCTTGAAATCAAAACTGTGAGAGCACTGAAGTGGATTTTTAAAAAAAAATAAAAATAAAAATAAAACACGGAGTGAAAACCCTCTGGGGAAGGAGGAACGGTGGGAATGCATCCAGCATTTTAGAAAAGGCGGGGAATTGTCAGAAACCAGCAGAGTTTAAGGGCACCTCTGCGATTATCCGCTGGGTTGGATGCTCCGGGAACCAAATTCCAGCTGGAATCCAGACATCCCTGCCTTGAAATGGGCTGTGTCCATCAGGGCAGTGGGGCAGGCACGGCTCCTGCATCAGGCTGGAACACACACAGCCCTGCCTGCCTCCTTCCCAGAACTTCCCAGCAGGAGGAAACACACTGGTTTCTCACCCATATTCCAAGGAAAAGGCTCCAGAGGGAGATGCAGAGGGCAGCTCCCATCTCATTCCATCCTACCCTTTCCCATCCCATCCCATGCTCACAGCGCTTTGCTGGCTGGCTCAGGCAGCTTGTGGATACAGTAGGATTTGTAGGGCTTGATTTTTTTATTCTAGGACTTAAAGAGCAGGTTTATTATCCCCAAATTAGATGGAAAAATTAAAAGAACAATCCTGAGCGGGAATAGTCTGTCCTTCCTCAATGACACAACTCAGAGACCAGTGTCCTTCAGGCTCATCCACAAATCTTGCACTGGGATGTGGCACCAAATCCCTACCAGGGTTTCAGGTCTCCCAGGAATCATGGAATCACAGGATGGTTTGGGTTGGAAGGGACCATAAAGATCATCTTGTTCCAATCAGGGACACCTCCCCCTATCCCAGGTTGCTCCAAGCCCCGTCCAACCTGGCCTTGGACACTTCCAGGGGTGAGGAATGAAAGACCCATCCATAGGGATGCAGCCATGGCAGTCCAAGGATCTCCCACGTGTCTGTCCTGCTGGAGGATGGAGCTCCCACATCCTGCCTGGTCCTTCCCATCCCATTGTGCCAACCTTCTCTCTCCCGTGACAGATTTTGGGGGGGGAAAGAGCCTCAGGCCTGTGAGATGGGATATTCCTGACCCAGGGAAGCAGTTTCCCCAGCTCTGCCCAGGCTCTTACAAGCACAGTCACCTTCATGTGGGGTGAGGAGAGCAGGAATCCTGCAGGAGGAATTTCGGGAGCTGCCCCTGCCCTGAAGCCACGCCGAGGGATGTGCTCATCCCTTTAAAAGGTTTAACCCATGTGGGAGCCTGTTTAGGTGGAACAAACCAAGAGTGGCCTCCTCATTAAAGGAGGCTTAGACTGGATTCAAATCCTCCTGCTCAATAAATTAGGTTAAAGTCAGCCCAGATTAGAAAACCCCTCTAATAAATCAACCTCATAGATCCAACCAGCTCTCAACTCCTGGTTCGTGTTTTTTTTTCTGGCTGTTTTTAACCCATTTCCTCCCTCTCCCTTAGGGAGAAAAAATCCTCAGGACTCCCAGCTTCAGCTCCTGGGGGTTCCAAAGATGGACACAAGTGATGAATTCCTCACAGAAACAGCACAAACATCACCCTCTGTGTGCCACAAAGACAAGGCTGAGGATTTGGGGGGATGAATCATCACATAAAGCAAGAACAGTTAGAGATTCGTAATTGGAAGAAGGGAAGGCTGGGTGGGATGGGCAGAGGAAAGAGCAGGGTCGGCATTAGTTACTTTGGGACTATTAATAATACCTCAAGTTATAAAGCGACCAGACCACGTAGAGGGAGTGGGAGGTTAATAAAAATAATGTGACTGCATGTCATGATATCCCACCTCCCACACTGAGTCCCAGGGGAGCTTTTTTAGCTAATTAAAGGATAATGATCCTTTATTTCAAGGCCACAGAAACCCTTGGTGTGACCACACCAAGCCTCATCCTGCAGAGGAAAACCTCTCCATGAAGGGAATCCCTCCCTCCCTGTGTGGAAAACACCCCACAAGGATAAATAGAGTTGGTCTGTGGCAGAAGCCAGGAGAGAATCCAGGAAGAATCCCCTTCCCATTGAGACATCCAAGACCAAGGAAGCCTTTTCCCTGCTATGACCTTGCCTGAGCAGCGGGGCCAGTGCTCCGCTGATCCCAGGAGGGTTCACCAGCCTTTGAAAACAGGGATTTGGGGCAGGGATCAACAGCCTGGATACCTCCACACCCCCTCCCCTTCCACTGACCTGGGTTTCTGAGGGGAATCTTTGGGCTCCTTTGAACCAAACCAGCCGCTGCTCTTGCTCCTCTCGTCTCCCGCTGCCGTGGCGTGGCCGGAGGGTCCCCCTTTCTCCCCCTGGCCTTTGCTCCCCGCCTCGCTCCGGCTGCCCCCGTGGTGGAAGAAGCCGCCTTTTGGTTTCTTCTCTTCCTTCCTGGCCTCCTCAGGCTGTTGGTCCTTCGCTGCCTCCGAGGAGGAGCCCGTGGGAGCCGCGGCTGGGGCCGGCCTGTTCTCCAGGCGGCCGCTCTCCTCCATCCGGGCTCTGCCCAGGTGGTTGCTGAGCGTGACGGCCTTGGTGGAGACCTTGAGCTCTTCCTGCAGGGCCAGGCTGGGAGGGGACGGGATGAACCTCGGCTCGTCCCTCTGCTGAGACCTCTCGAAGCCGCCCGCCCCCCAGGGCGCCTCGTGGGGGTCGGGGTGGAGCGGGGCGAAGCCGAAGCCCTCCTCCTGCCTCCTGGGCACGGGCAGCGGGGCAGAGCCCGGCGGGGCCGGCGCGGGGCTCCTCGGGGCGGGCTCGTCGCTGTAAACGTGGCTCCCGTTGATGCAGAGGGAGGAACGGGACGCGGGGTCGTTCTTTGGCTTCGGGCTTTGGGTGGCTCTGGGCTCGGGCACCGGGCTGACCTGGGAGACGTCGTCGCTGAAGGCTCTCTTGTGGGTCAGCGTGGGAGATGGCAAATAGTCTTTCACTGAAGGGGGAGATTGAACACGAAACGGAGGTGAGGGAGTGACGAGCAGCGCTGTCTCCTGCCTGCAAACACTCAAGAGGAGCCTCGAAATCATCCCAGCTCCCGGGCTCCACGGGATTACAATTAAATTTGAAATGCAAAGCCCGGGTCACAACTGAGTGGGGACGCAGGATACACAGTATTCTCCCTGAGCACATCAACTCCCACTCTAGGGCCTGGAGAGGAGACTCTAACACCATAAACCCCTTGTCTGAGAGGATCTCAGAGGATCTGAGATGGATAATAGATGCAAGAGACTCCCCAGAAGCTACTTAGAGGGTTTAATGCTTCTGTATGACTCTGGAGTTTGCAGGAACAGGAGATGACAAGGCCATGAGCTCTGCTCCGACCAGCCAGGTGTGACAAGCCAGGAGAATCCAGCGCCTTCATTTCCCTCCCACTGCCTCGAGGGCTGGACTTGAGGATCTTACAGGTCTTTTCCAACCTTAACAATTCCATGATTCTATGACCTTGTGGATACTGCAGACTTTTGGGGTTAAAAATCAGGGAGAACCTGGAGACAGGGGCTGCCTGGATTGAGGTGACACCCAGCTGCTCTCCCCTCCTGGTTGGAGATGTGTCCTTCATAGAATCATGGAATGGTCTGGGCTGGAAAAGACCTTACAGATTATCTAGTTCCAAGCCTCTGCCACAGGAACTGGCATGAGATGGAAGGCTCATCCCGAGGACGATGGGATCAGAGCAGCGTCTCGACTCGCTCTCCAGCCACGGACACGACACATGGGAACGTCATCCAGCAGAAACCCCCCGGCATCCCACGGCCCCACCAGCATGTACCCGGGGACTCCCACCCCAACCCAGGAATGGGCTGTGTCCAGCCAATTAAATCATCTAATTACACCTTCCGTTTTCAAGGGACGGCGAGAATTAACTCCCTACAAGGGCCTGTTTTGTTTGTAAATCGCCGCTCTGCGGGCGCCAGGAGCTCGGATTGTTTTAATCACTGGGAACTGGGCACTGCTCCGGCTCGAGGTGGCTCATTAGACCAGTGACCCAGGGCAGGGCAGCAGCAGCTTCCCCCAGCCCTCCCCTGGGGCCTTCCAGTGGCAGTGACCTGCTTTGAGGGGTGAGAAGAGACAGCCCCGAGGAACCCTCGTGTCCAGGGAGCATCGATGGGAGCCAGGCACGGAAAATCAGTCTTGGATGTTTCTCCCCCGTTCTGCCAAGCAAAAATGCAGAAGGCAGAAGATCTCAGAGGGGGTTTGTAGGATGTTGATTCTCAGCCTGGAGAAAAGGAGGTTCAGGGAGGACCTTCTGGCTCTGCAACTCCCTGACAGGAGGTTGGAGCCAGGTTGGGGTCGGGCTCTGCTCCCAGGGAACAGGGACAGGAGGAGAGGGAACGGCCTCCAGCTGGGCCAGGGGAGGTTTGGGTTGGATATTGGGAAAATTTTGTCATGGTTGTCCAGCCCTGGCACAGCTGCCCAGGGCAGTGGTGGATCCCCATCCCTGGAGGGATTTAAAATCCCTGGGGATGTGACACTGGGGGACAGGGGTCGGTGGTGGCCTTGGTGGTGCTGGGGGAACGGTTGGACTCAACGGCCTCAGAGGGCTTTTCCAACCCAAATAATTCTATGTTCCTACGATTCTATGACTGGGTCAGTAATTAGTTAACAGATTTACAAGAAAGTCTCAACAGCCCTTTACAAAGAAAAAAAAAAAAAAAAAAAGAGGGGGAAAAAAAAAAAAGGGGGGAGGGATTATCGATGATCCTCTTACCAGAGCGCTCCATGGACAGACTGCTGTGTCTGCTCGGGGATTTGGTTACCTCAGGAACATTTGCTGCCAAGCTCAGGCTGGCAGAGGAGATGGTGCTGTCGGATCCCAGGGAAGTGTTGGATTGCGTCAGGGACGACTTGCGCAGCTTGTTCTTCAGGAAGAAGCCCTTGACTTTGGCCTTCTTGCCGCCCAATTCATAGTCATCCTCCACGTCCAGGGCGCCCAGGCTGCTGGGGATGATGGCAGAGGCTGACTCCAGGTCGTATTTCTTCTTGCCTGTCACCTTGTCCTTCAGCTTCCCGAAGGGGGACCGCGGTTTATCCTTCATGGACAGGTCGAACATGCTGGCCGTGAGGTTGTTCCGCGTGAACTGGATGCTCACCAGGATCTCACCCCGCTCCTTCTCCTTCTTCCCGGCCTTGGAGTGCAGCTTGTGCCACCTGGAGCCAGAGAGGAAAGAAAAGGAAAGGTGCCTCTGTCATTTCCAAGCCAAGAAAACTTTGGAGAAGAGGCTGCTGGGGTGGGAGAAGGCACCAGTGCTATCCAGCATGGGTTTCTTCCTGGAAATGGTTGTTAAACATTGGAAGGGAGGTGGTGGAGTCCCCATTCCTGGAGGTATCCAAGGAAGGACTGGATGTGGCACTCGGTGCTCTGGGCTGGGGGACAAGGTGGGAATCAATCACAGGTTGGACTCCATGATATTGGAAGGCTTTCCCAACCTTAATGATTCCATGATTCTGTTCTAAGAGTCCTAGGTATCACCCAAAATCCAAACCAGAGACACCCCTCAACAACTGTGGCACCATAAGAGCTCTGTCTTTATCCCTGTCCTCATCCTAAAAACACTGCCCTTCCACCAAATAACCTGGAAAATGCCACCTTGGTGTCAGGTACCACTGTGCTTTTCCAGGGAAAGCTACCAGTGGCCTAATTTTTTTGTAGGCTCACTTGCCAGCTTGCTGGGAGCTCCAGTTTGAAAGCAAACAAAGACGACGGCGCTCGGTGCTCATGGTTTAAATATTCCAGAGCCGGTGACTCAACAAATCCTTCCAGGCACAGACAGACCTGGAATGCCAAAGGCTCCCAACAACATCCATCAAAATAACTTTCCTGCCAGGCCTCCTGTGCCTCACCCGAAATAAAGCTGCTCAAGTTTGACTCAAAGTGTCCTCGCATCGAGTGATCCGAGGATGGTGAATCCCGGGAGTTCTTTGTGGGAAGGAGAACCTTCTGTGAAGCACCTACCCAGGTTATTGATTGTTGGGAAGGATCTGCATTCCCACAGCTGGCTGATGGAATTCTCTCCTGCCTGGTGAGAGCTCCAGAAGGAGACAGTGGCCACGTCCACCAGCTCAGAGGCTCCCACTGACTCCACAGCGGGATCCCAGGGAAGTTTCCCTGCTGTCCTGCCCCACACAAAACCCATAATACAGACTGTGCTCCAGAGCTTTGCATGGCAGGAACATGGGAATAGCCTCTAAACCATCCACTGCACAAGGCAAAAATAATCCCAGCCTCCATTTAGGTCCCAGTCCTTCCATGGGAAGGGCATGGAGCAATCTCTGGGAGAGGGGTCTTGCTTCCTGCCAGTGGGAATGAAAGGTGGGAGAGAGGACACCACAGCAAGACAGGCCCAGAGCCACCTTCTAGTTCTCCATTTCCATGGTCAGATGGGGCAGCACCAAACACAGGCCATGAGGGAACAGTTTCTTCCCAGGAATCGCTGCCAACCCAGAGGTCCTTCACTCCCTTCTCCCATAGGATGCTCCATCTTTCTGTCCCCATTCCAGGTCCTGCTTCCCAGGGCAGCTGCAGCAGGATGGGCAGGTCTCCAGCACAGCCACTGCCCTGGTAGCTCTGCTCCCTCCCAGATCAAAGTATTAAAAGAGGAATTTATGATTAAAATTCCCCTTAACGAGGCCCAAGGAAATCTGTAGGTTCAGGACAGACCCTATTTCTCCACGTCATCCCTCCTGGGTGAAAGGCACAGCAACGGGAGCTGGGAGACATTTCTGAACCTGGGTTAACAATTTCCCAGAAAAGTGGTGTTTTACATCCACTTGGAGAGCGAAATCACTGAGAAATAAAAAAAAAAAAACAGGGAAGGAAAATGTGCTGGGCTGGAGGTGGGTGCGACCAGGCTGAAATCACCAGGGCAAGGAGAGAATTGTGCTCTCCAGAAGTTTCTGAATTCCTGCCAGGGGAGTTATCACATCCTGGATGAAGGGAGGAGCTAGGAAGGCTACATCATTCCCTGGAATGGTCCAAGAACAGGTTGGATGGGGTTTGGAGCAACCTGGGCTAGTGGAAGGTGTCCCTGCCCATGGCAGGGGGTTGGAATAAGATGAGTTTTAAGGCCCTTTCAACCCAAACCATTCTGTGAATGGGGGTACAAACCTCCTAATTCCCCCAAAAATTTTCCAAGTGCCCATCTGGAAGCACCCAGAGCCTTCATCAAGTAATTCAAAAGGCAGCAGGGACAGAGCCAACTTTGCTGGGAACACACACACAGAACCAAATCCCCAGTGAACCCATTCCTGTTCCCACCACTCCCTTACCCCACCCCACAGGATTCCCACTGCACAATTTTCACTACCCAGGCTTTGAGCTTGAAAATATCCAGGCAGGCAGGGAAAAAATAAAAATCCATGGGGAAAAAAAAAAAGTAGCATTAACCCTTTAAGAGCAAAACAGCAGCAGCAAAAAGACACCGGAATGGGCCAATTCACTGCCAGGGAGAAGGAGCAGGTGAGTCAGGAGGACACTTCCCGTAGGATTGGAGAGGAAAAGGCTGCCTGGAACATCCAATATTGTTCAGATTAATTCCAGAGCTGGAAGAAGTTCAAGAGGGAAGGGCTGGAGCAGCCTGGCAGCTGCGAAAGGAGAGATCTGGGGGCTGAATCACTTCACAGGAAAAACAAAGAAAAAAAGAAAAACCTCCTGAAAGGAGTTTTTATACCTTATGTCATCCCATGGGGAAAAAAAAAATAAAAAATAGGAGGAATCTGGGTGGATTAACACAAGGAAAGGCACGACCTTCTGAGGATGATGAGATGGAACAGCATCTCCCATCCCATCCCTTCCAATCTTGTGGGCATTAAAGGGAATTTGGGGGGCTCAGGCCTGACCTGCTCCAAAAAAAGCATCTGCTCAAGGAAAAGCCCCTGCTTATGCCAGTGTGGGATTAAGGAGCTATTTTTGGATCCCAAGACCTCATCCACAGTGCGCAAACAGTCGGGATACCCCTCCAACAGGCGACTACTGGGGCTATTTTTAGGCTAAGCTCGAAGTTCGTGGCACCAGACGAGTGTCTGGGAGGATTAAGTTGTTCCACTTCGTGTATTTCTGGGATTTGATGAATCAGTTCCAGTGGAAATGGGAGGTGCAAACACTGCCTGGGCTCAGGGAGGGCTGCAAGTGCCAGCCCAGCCAAAAATCACAATTCCAGGGCATAATTTCACTATTAACCCCATCCCACAGCCCTTGGTTTCTCCTAGTTCTTCCCTGCGTGGGGGTTTCTGGATTGGGGCCACCCAAGGTCACATTTTGAGGGCGGACACGACCTCTTTTGTGGGAACAGAGGATACACCTGGAAAAAACAAACCAGTTCTGCCCACAAAACCCCCTGTTCCAGGCCTGAAATAGCAGAACTGGGTTATGTTAATCAGGCTCTGGAAGAGGTGCTGGAGGAGCGCAGGGAAGCTGTGCCAAGCACATCCAGCACCAGGGATGTGGGACCACAAGGATCTGCTCCTTGGGGGTGTTTTGGAGGCCTCTCCTGAGGAAGGTGGTACCAGCTTGGACCCAGCTCCTCCACTGGACAGGACATCCTGGATAAGACACTCATCTCCAGCCACCTGCTCCGAAGGGTTCTTAGCAAGGTTTGGAGGGGGAACAGCCTGACATGAGCTTTGCTAGTTTGAAAAATTAAACTAAAATTAGATTAAAATTAAATTAAACTGGCTGTCTTGTCCCAGAGCCAGAGCTGGTGGTGATGGGGGGGCAGGATTGCTCCTCCCTAAGGAGATGTGCTTGGTCCCCCAGTCTGTGCTGGAGGTGAATCCTCCCAAAATAGGGAATCCCAGGATCTGTCCTCCATGGATTCTGTGGCAGGGAAAGGGCTGGAGAGCCCCCCAGGCCTCAGGGATGGCTGAGGGGGAAGGAAACAGCAACTCACCCCATCACAGGGGGCCAGGAGAGGAAACCTCAAACACAGAACTCCTCGGAAAGGGGAAGCACCCGGAGGCCCCTGCGAGCTCCGGGGCAGCTCCTGGGAAGCAGGAGCTGCTCCAGGGGGGTTTGGAAGCTGGGACACGGATTGTGAGCCTCCCCAGCCCCCACTCTGTGGCTGTGCTCACTCATTTAGGTCACCCCTGGTTAATCAGCACATCCCAACTGCCTCCAGACACTCAGAGTGAATCCCTTCCCATCCCTCCTCCCACTCCTTTCCACGGAGACTCCGAGGGAGCGGCTGCCAAAAGGCACGTTTGGGAGACGGCACCCGGCGTCTATTTTTACATTTGCTGTTGCCAGGATCAACTGGAGGCAGGGGGGAGCTGCACACAGAGCGCTGCTGTAGCTCCAGCTTCCCAAAACACACACGTGCTTCCCCCCTCATCCTCCGGCAGCATCCCGGACCCGAAAATGCTGAGCAAAGGGGAAAAACACCTCGGAGTGGGAACAAGAGCGTGGGGATGTTTGCTAAGGAGGGATGGGGACAGGGTGGATTTGCTCCTTGCTCTTTGTCCTCCCCTGGGCTGCAGGTGACAGCTTATGGGGAGCACCGGGACATCCTTGGAACCTTTGGCTGGGTATATGGAATTGCTTGGGCATGATTTTCTCCCTGTCAGTGAGAATATTCCTTTGGGTTTGAGACGACCCAGCACCTCCTGGGATGGGAGGACAAGCTGCTGGGGTGGCCAGGACACAGAGCTAATCCCAAAGGAATGACAACGCTGCCTGTGATCCAAGGGTTTCCATCACTCCCCCCCTTCCACACCCTCCTCCTGATCAAACAGCTCCCTCAGCACAAAACCAAGCACAAAGCCAAGGCTTCCAGCCCATCCAGCAGCTTCATGGATCACCATCCCAAGGCCCTGGAGCGATCCAAGCTCATTTCACTGGTTTGGAAACACCAATGGACACTGGGATGAGATCGGATGAGCAAGGCATCGCACACAACACGACTCTCAGAGCTGCCACTGCCAGGGACAACGTGGGCCCTTCCAAGGAGAACAATCTTTGCTCTCCCATGACTCCAGCTGGGATCCCCAAGAGATCCCTGCCCACCTTCCAGCTCAGCTGGTCCTGCCTCATCCCACCAGACCCACTTAACACAACCTAGACCTGAGGGTCTCCAGTTTCACTCTCAAACTGGTCCCAGTGCTTCACCAGCTCTTACTTGGGAAATTAAGTCCCTTAGGGATGCACAGCTGGAGTG